AATGTCAGAAACGTTCGACTAGTTCGAGAGTTTAATGAACCCGATAATTCCACATTATATTAAGGCCTTACATACGTCTAGAATTTTACAAAAATCGATTTTTTTTAACAAATTGTTGTTCTCTATAGTTTTAGGCTTATTTCTATGAAAGTCGATTGCACAAAATCTCCATAGATCCAAAGTTATGGTAGAAAATGTGACTGCCCGACGAGAGTTTGGTGCGCGCACATAGCTGTCTTTTGTTTGAGACACTTAAAACTTTAAACGCGTTTTTCTCGAAACTACTTTTTCCGCCACGGTCTGCATGATAACTCATACAATTGTAAATATTTTTTGATACAACTTTTTATAAATATTTGAAATTGTTTTCTCTCTATAGTTGTTGAGCCGGATTTTTGATATTTAGATTTAAAAAATAAAAAAAACTAATTAAACTGTAAAATTTATGACGTAAAACGCATACTTTTTTTTAAATTTTCATAAATTACTAAATTTTCCGAAATTCAAAATTCCGACCCGACAACTATAACTATAACTTTATTTTACAAGAATTTTTTTTAATTTTGTACATCGATCAACATTTACTGGAGATATGATGCCGGCCGTGGAGCAACTTTTTTTTCTTAGTGTTGTGGATCACGTGATTTTTTATACAGTAATTTTTGTAAAAATAAAGTGAAATAAAATTTTTTATAAAGTTCAAATACCAATAAACAATGTGTACTATTTTTTTGTATTAATTTCTATTGTTATCCCTACTAAAAAATTGTTTTCTTTTAGCGCAATTTTGGCGCTGCTAAACGTATGTAAAGTCTTCAGCTAAATGTTTTAACGAAGAAACTCGCTCGATAATGGCGACGAAAACAAATCGCTCTCGTTATCAAACGCTTTAACTTAAATCATATCGAATTTTCTATTGAATTTTTCAATTGACTCAAGATAAAATATATTATAGTGTATATAAATATGTTAAGGAATCGTAATTTAATGAATAAATTGTGCAAAAATCTTATTGACTATTTCTTATTTATTTCCTTGGCAATGGTTTTGTAAGAATAAGCAAGAATCATTTCACTTTTCAAAGGCAGATGTGCCTCCTTCACAAACCATATGCGTCAACTGTAGTCGCACGTTTTCCTTTTACGTATTGGTAAAAATTGAATTTAAAAAAATCTGTACAACATGACGATTCAATTTATTTCGAGGTCACACAGAAGTAAAATATTAATAGTTGGCGCAGGAATTGATTTAATTGGTACAGTATTGACTTCCATAGCTTTTATTTTACTATGAAAGCTATATATGAATGCTTTACTATAAAATATAGATACCTAGAAAAATTGATATAGTAAATTGATAAACGTCATGTTGTGTCTGATATTTGCATTAAAAACGTAAAGATGAATGCTTTTGCATCTTTTCAAACGAGAACTTTTGTTCTTGATTAAAATGGCCCAACGTTTATTTTTGAATAGTAATATAGCATTTCCAGCCGTAGTATACGTATATAGTATATGAGACTAGATACAAGCTTTTTGCAGAAGTGATGAAAGCTTCTGTAACCGACTCCGCTAAACTCAAACTTCAAGTATTCCCTCATCAGCGAATGTAGCATTCTTTTAAAAAACATGGGTTCATTCTCTTGCCTTTTATTGCAGCTGGTTGGATTCTGTAAATGTCGTTGTGAGATACTATAAGTACAGACAAAATAGAACTCTGATTTGTTCTTTTTTTTCTAGATGAATTGTACGAATTCGTTCTGAAAAAATTTTGTCTTTCAACACTTAGTCTTTCGAATGATCACTGATACATTTCTAATTTTTTATTGCTTCTAGATACATAAATCATATACATGTATTTAAATGTCTTTAAAATTACATTACAACTGTTATTAATATTTAATCATCAATTAGACGATATCATAAACACGGAAATGCGTAGGTATCTATTTATCTCTTCCAAGGTCCTTCCGCTTTCAAGAAAATACAAATACTTGTAGTATCATACTCACACGTATTCCTCCAATTCACTCTTTTGATATGCATATCAGTTATTCCCTGCAAAGAATTTTTTTTCATCCGCTTGAATAGATTATACATACACATACATAAATATTATAACTCGTATATAATAATAAAAAAGAATAAAACAAAATAACTTTAATTACTTTCGCATACATTGTGAATATTGAGGATAAACACGATTGAAAGCCATTACAGTTAATACCTTTCAAAACGGTCAGATAAATGGAGATAAGCTTTTCGCATATCCTTGACCAGACTATGCCAATATCAAATTTGTTTCCACCATGGCAAATAGTTACTTCTCCCAGACGTGTAACTACACCCATTCACAAAAAAAGACCAAAGAAAGACAACGGCAGTAATAATGGACATCTACGATCAGTAGGAGTAGTGTCAATCTCTAACAGATTTTCGATTTTAAATTCAAATACGAATATAGAGATGCCAGAAAATCAACCAAATCATCAAAAGTACCTCCACCCCTACCAATCTATGTAGATGACGTAATCGACATCCAATCTTTAACAAGATATTTGGATAAAGTGGTTAAAAAAGAAAGATTTTAATTTAAAGTCAATAATAACCAGGTTCATGTCCTAACAGCTGACTCTGATATCTATAGAAAAATTACGAGATTATTAAAATCCTCTAATGCTAGTTTTCATACGTTTCAATTAAAACAAGAATGGTCATTTCGTGTTATTCTATGCAATGTTCATCACTCTGTTGATCTTGATGACTTAAAAAACGAACTTCAAGAGCTTGGACATGAGGTAATCAATATAAATAATATTAAACATAGAATTACACACAACCCACTGTCAATATTCTATATCTCGACTTGAAACAAAAACCAAACAACAATATTATAGTATATAATATAAGTCGTCTAAATAATACTAAAATTAAAATAGAACCACCCCTAAAAAAGAAAGAAACAATTCAATACAAAAGATGCCCAAAATACTGTCACTCTCAGAGGTATCACAATTGCCAATATAAGTATGTCAAATGTACAGGTCCACATCCAATTGTGGAATGCAAAAAATCAGTTGAAACTCCACCAATTTGTCTCCTATGTGGTGGCCATCATACCGAGAACTATAAAGGGTGCCCTCATTATCAAAATAAAAATTGCTCAAGAAAATATTTCCGAGACCTAGATTAAGGGAAAATCTAAACACTCAATCAAACTTACGAACCAACCCAGTGAAAAATAATCAACGCTTCATCGAACCTTTAGTTTTTTATGCACAAACTACGAAAGGAAGCAATCACTCCCCAAATATCCCAAGTCCGCTATCTCCGAATATAGAAAATAAAAACGAAAATTCTTACACTTTTGAAAACATAAGTAAATTGAAAAAACTTATTGAAAAGCAAACTGCACAAATAAATAACCTTCTCTCTATATATTTATTAACGGTAATAGTAAATAAATTGTCATCCATCGACAAATATTGAAAACTTTGCGTATTACTGTTTGGAATGCCAATGGTCTAATGCAACAAAAAGTTGAGTTGGAATCTTTCTTAAGAAACCAGGACATTCAAATAATACCGATATCCGAGACCCACTTTACTGATAAAACTTGTTTTAAAATCTATGGTTACAAGGTATACAGCACGCATCATTGCAACAGAAGGATATTAATATTAAACATCGAACATATTAATATTAAAAAGAATAAATCGGGTTATATAACTTTCACACTGCGTAAGCGCACATGTTCTCCTGTGATCATAAATGGAGCAGTTATTCCAACCAAAGATTCGGTCAAATACTTAGGTATGGTACTGAATAAAAGGCTGATATGGAGACAACAAACACCAATTCAAAACAACCTATCTAAAGAAAAGAATAAGAAAGCTATATTGGTTCATTGGCAAAACATCTAATTGTAAGTTAAGTTTGAAGAGCAAGCTTGCTATATACAAAGCTATTCTGAAGAATATTGAAATTCTACAAAGATTTGAATCGAAAACGTTACGAAACATTTACAATGCCTCTTGATATGTAACAAATGATAGAATTCACAAGAACTTAAGAATTTTTACAATAAAAGAAGAAATAGTATATTATAGCGAACACTACAACATTCGTTTAGCTAACCATCCGAATCTTTTAGCAAGTAATTTGCTTGAAAACTCAAATTTAGTACGTAGACTAAAAAGGTTCTACCCTTGTGATTTAAAAATAAGGTTTTGTTAATTAGTAATATTGTTATTCTGTAAAACAGATATATTCGTTTACAATTATCATTGTAACATTCTTTTGAACTTACAATTCATGTTTATTTATCACGTCAGCAAAAATTACTTATAATTCTCACCGAGGATTGATTGTATATTCCTCTATTAATAAAAACGAAGAATAAATTACTTTCGTATAATGAAATAAGAAGTTTATCTTGAGACTACAGTTTTTATAGATATAAAATGTCTATAAATGACGAGTAATAAACAATAAGAGGTAAGAAGTAAAGGTTACAAGAAGTACCATATTTCACAAGAGAAAAGAATAGAATATTTAACATAAGTGTGAAAAGACAAAGAAGAAACAAAGCCGGACGAGGTATAATGAAAGTGTAGAAGCAAAACGAATGTACGATGAGAAAGGTATACAGTTGATGAAGTAAGAAGCAAACATGTAGCGAATGTATTGTTCTTCCTAACTTTGAAATGGGATCTCAAAAGAAGATGGTTGCAAGAAATGAAAAAATGCTCAAGGGTCCCTTATAAAGACATAGATTTTTCAAATGTAACTTTATTTTTAGGTAATCATGAAAATTACTATATAAAGTAAATTAAATTTATTCATAAATAAAGTCAAAATGAAACCATCAACGTTCGTATTATATCACGAATTGATGTATAGTACATGAACTGATAATGTATACGTATCATTAGGAACTAGTTCCTCGAGATCAAGGTTTTTCCGCATTCATAAATCTATATATTGACAGTATGCCATAATGTAACGGGCTTTTTCTTTTCACTTTAAATTGATTTGTCGTATAACATAAATGTTCTTGTCTATAACTTAATTACAAAATGTTTAAATTCTGGCTTATAATGTAAGTAAATTATTATCTATTTTTTCATCCGTAATTAACATAAATTAATATTTTGTTTTAAATCAATTAATATAAAGTGTTGAAATTCTGATTTGTAATACAAGTAATTTATGATCATGTTTATGCATTCACAATTATTCGAGAAATAATACAATTTTAATGAAATTTACATATTTTTATTCGAGAAATAATGAAATTAAAATTTTTGTGTGAATCCGGAGAAGGATACATATAGTGGACAAAAGTAATGAAAAGAATAGAAGTGTTCTTAAAAATAAAAAATAAAATAAACTAGAAGGAAGAAACACAAGAATGTAGAACGAAACTTAAAACCCGATATTATTTGCTATTTTACTTTTTAACCAATATTTTTTCTTTAATTATTTATTCATTATTTTATTTACTGATTTTTCATTTTATTTATTTTTTCAATTATTGAATTTATCTAATTTATTTATTATATTTTTAATTATTTATTTTATTGTTTCTTTTTTGTCTGTTTTTTCTTTTACATTTTTTTCTCATGCGAATCTGTTATATATGGACTCCCTATGCAATGCCGAAAGGGCAATAATAAATCATTATATATGCATATAATAATAAAATTAAAATTTTTTTCAGTATCTGCTGGGCAGTCATTTCAACAATAATTGTTGCACATCATGATGCCTTATCTGAGCATGAAAATATTCTTTCTTTACTCAAGTACCATTATCGTACGAAACATCATCATTCTTTACACAGAAGCCATTCTTCACGCGGCCATCATTATCCTCCTGAATTAAAAAAGCTCTTTGAAGGCAAAAAAAAGGAAGAAAAAACTGTTTGTCAAAGCGAAGAATGTAAATTAATTGGTAAATAAAAAATAAATTTATTCAACATCGTATTTTTATATTCTAATTACTCTGTCTATATTTATATTTTCTTTCGATGATACAGCTAGGATAATAAAAGATAATATCAATAAATCGGTTGATCCTTGCGATGATTTTTATCAATATGCATGTGGTAAGTTTGGAGAAAATAATCCAATTCCACCAGGCGAAGATAGTTGGAGTTTCGTTCAAATAATGAAAAGAAATCTTAATCGTCAAATGGAAGGTAAGTTTTCAAATTTATGTATATGTATATTCAATAGGTTAAATACTTATTTATTAATCGTTCACTTATTGATTATTATAGATAAATTATGGATATTAGATTAAGTTAAAAGTTTTGTAATTTTAAAGAAATTCTAGAATCAAAAACGAATTCGGACGATTTGCTGACAATTAAATTAGGAAAAAGATATTTCCGTACTTGTATGGATCTCAGTAAGTTAAAAAAAATTTTATCTACATTTTACATTAGATAGAACTACTACGTACTTACAAATTCATTTTCTTTTGATGGAGATCTCTTTCATGAACCTTTCAAGATATGCAATATAGAGCAGTGTGGTTCAATGAATACCTTGCAAATTTCAGAGGGTAGAGAACGAAAGGGTCTTGAGCCCTTAGTCATAACTATGGCAAGAATTGGTGGTTGGCCGTTGATAATGGAACCCGAAGAATGGGACGAAACCGAACATACCTGGCAAAAAATTGATGATTATTATGCTGCTCTAACGGGATATAATACATTTTATAATCTTCGTGTTTATACTCATATTTCATCCTCTACAAACGAAACTCTTACAGCGGTGTGTAGTGATAAAATTGATAAGTAATTAAATTAATTTTTTATATATATCATCAAAATTATTCTTTAAAAAATGATTTGTTATTTTCGATACAGGTAACATTACCGCGAGTGCCTACAGGTTCGAAAAGATTACGAGTGAAAAATGAAGAATCGAAATACGCATGCGGTAAAGACAGTAAAGATGAAAGCAAAGAGGAAAGTTATGACGACAAAGATACTAGCAGCTACGAAGGTAAGGAAGAAAAAGAGAATTTAAATGACAATGACGATGATAGCCAACAACAGGATAGCCAAGAAAAAAATAGCAAGGATACAGAATCTGAAGAAGTAAACTCTGAAGAAAATCGTAATATGACACAAGAATATGTTAATACGATGATTGAGATTGCAATGGCTATTGCCGAAACTCGAGGATTTCAAGTTTCAGAAAACCGTATCGCGGCAGACGTTAATGATGTTGTACAGTTTCAACGAACATTAATAGAGGTATTTGTTATAATATTAATGATTTCCATTTTAATTTATATATTATTAATTATCCGTTGGAATTTGCACTACATATTGAACGAATAAATTTGATTCTAGATCGGTGATAATACTTACATGTGTGGTGAGAAACAATTTACACTTGAAGAATTTCAAGAGCTATACGATAATACAAGTGTTTCTACAAGAACTGCAAAGGTAATATTTCCTTCGATCTATCTGTAATAAATTATTTATTTTTAAATATAGAATAATATATTAATTTATCAATTTTACAGATTAATTTTATCGATAAAATACTAAATTTGCTCGAGGTTGCAAATGTTAAGGCCAGTCAAGATTTAGAAATCCACGTACAATCGACAAGATTCTTTTTAGCTCTTAATTCCTTACTCGATGAAACACCGGATCGTGTTATTAGTAAGTCTGATATGATATATATTCTTCATTAGAAAGTAGATATATCTAACAATAAGTAAATTAATTAATCGTTGTAAACCAGAATAAAAAGAAAACTTTCGATTTTTATGTTTGAACAATTTAATATAATTTGATATATTATATACACATATATATACTTAATTTTATAGGATTATATTTTTACAGTCAATTACATTCATTGGCTTTATGTTAGTCACTTGATAGATGCTACAACCGAGAAGATGGAAGATTTACACTATGTTTTGCAGACGGGTAAAAAACTTGACAAAATAACTTCATCAAAAAAAAACCGGTTCGTAGTTTTTTTTACGGTATTATCATTTCTTACTTAGCAATAATATTAGTATATTATAAATTCGTAAAAATAAAGAAAAGAGTGGAAATTCCTGTATAACTTAGATCAAAATTGCAGGATGGAGAAATGCGTAGGAGAAGTAGGATTAATTGATATTACAGCATACGCCTTTGTTAAAAAATATTTTCCTGATAAAATAAAAAAAACGGTAAGGATTTTATATCTGCATTAAACCAATCATTTAAATTTGTAAATGTTAACGTAACATTATTTTAATATTTTACAAGGCAGAAGAAATGATCTCATATGTACAAAAGGAAGTGGAACGTGAGATTTTGGAATCAGAATGGTTGGATGATAATATTCGCAAATTTGCTACGGAGAAAGTTCAAAATATGAAAAAATTTGTTGGATATCCATCCTGGTATTCTAATACTACGATAATGAAAAATTTTTATAAGGGAGTATGTTAAATCGTTTTATCCTAGAATATTTAATTTCTTTGCTTTTTATAATAATTTTAAGTATTAATAACTTTGTTCAGCTCGTGATTGGTCCTTCCTACTTTGAAAATAGAATGAGCTTTGGCAGATATGAAACATGGAAAAATTTCCGTTTATTAAAGAAGGATCCAACATCTGTATCGTTAGTATATATATATATATATATATATACGCGTATTAATAAATACATATATTTTTTTACGAATTTTCATTCATTACAGAGAAGAAGACTATATTACGCCTCTTATATTGAACGCTTTATATGCACCATTTGAAAATAAGATGTGTAAGTTTTGCAACTTAAGCAAGAAATGTTAGTAATTTTCTCAATATCTATATTTTTTATAAATTAGTTATAACAGCTGCAGACTTTCAAAATCCATTTTTCGCGATTTCAAGACCACCGTAAGTTTTTATCTGACATTATGCAAATAGAATAAATTATTTCACACAAACAGATTCTTATATATTACAGCATAATAAATTACGGAATTATTGGTGCTATTATGGGTCACGAGATTAACCATGGATTTGACGATTCTGGTAAGTCAAAAACGATGATAGTTTCTATTTTAATTGAATCTACAATGATAGTAAGTATATAATAATATAAAAATTCCATATATTAAAAGGACGACTTTATAACAAAAATGGCAAAGAAATTCAATGGCTAGGTACAATGGCTTCAGCTTATAACAAACGAGTCGAATGTTTTGTCGATCAATATAATAGTTTAGTAAAGGATGAAGAACTTAAAAAAAATGAAAAAGATATACCGGTAAGTAGTAAATGGAATAATTTTTGTTTCTCTCTACGTTTACATTAATAGTTTAACTACTGCTACTACATTCTTCTTATTCACAGAGTTACGGCAATAGAACCAGAAACGAAAATATAGCCGATACAATGGGTCTTGAAGCATCCTTAGGTGCATATCGTATATATGAGAAAGAAATGAAGAGTAAATCAGAAGAAGTTTTATCAGGCTTGGAACATTTAACCACCGAACAACTTTACTTTTTGTCTTATGCTAATGTAAGTATAAATGCATACATTCCATATACGTATATTACAATAGTGATATTCAAATGGTGATAATTTATCTTAATACTATGCCGTCCGGTAGCACCATGTTGGTATAGTGTTCAAATTTGATAGAACGAATGCCGACTTCAGATGAAAACATTTCAGTTACACGTGTCGAACCTCATAGTGTTAAGTATATCATGTTTGTGTAGCTGTCTTTAATATATGATAACGCGTGAAATAACATTTGAATCAGTCGAACTTTTATAATAACATATCTTCGAGTTACCAACGCAATTATATTACGTATGAACAAATAAATATAATTTACGGCGGACATATCTATATATATTCGTTGAAATAACCGCGTACGTTGTGACAAAGGAAAAAACTATATCGAGTGAAAAATGCAAAAGAATAAAAAACAAAAGTTAAAAAAGTCAACTGACGACAAATACAGAGAATTATTATATTACATGCGTTAAATTGGACTTGCCAGGGATAGTGCACGTTCTTCCTTTATCCTCTTCTCTACCCTTAATACGTGGCTAGCTATAGTATCGCGACAATCGCTTCTTCAATTTCTTTCCTTTCCACTATCATCCTCCATATCAGGATGTACAATAAGGGAGAAATGTACATGGAACGAACAGACAAGCCTGTGATGCATTCTATTTACGACCTAAGAGCACAAATAACATTCGAACAAGCAAAATGTTTGTATATGTTATAGGCAAAGTGCCTATAACATATATATATATATATATTATCAGATTTTAGGAATCAAATTGAATGGAAAAATTTGTTTCTTTTGTTCCTATCTATGCACTAAGAGAGAAAATAGATTTACATATATTTTTATATACTCTTTCAGACCTTCTGCGAAGTAATTAGTCCAGAGAGGCTAAAGGAATATAAGGATGATGAACATAGTACAGGACAATTACGAGTACTCGGACCTATCTCAAATTCAGAGAGCTTTGCCAAGTCTTTCAATTGCCCGATTGGAAGTCCAATGAATCCGGAAAAGAAGTGTAACATTTGGAAGTAACTGAAAACGGAAGATGATATTTTCTGTGACTATCCTACACCCCCTATCTATCTTATTTGATTAAATCTTAAGATTATGAGTTCCTTGGAAAAGAAAAGAAATAAATAAATAAGACAATAATTTCATTAATCATATTGCGTCGCTATATTTGAGCGTCTATGAAGATAATCGAGTTTTGTATGTAGTCTCGTCTTCGGAGAAGTAATTAGACGAAAGTAAATTGTTCTATTAATTACTGCATGTAACTACGTAGATCGTGCGTAATTAATAACAGCTCTTAGTTACACGCTTTGATCCCTTTATGATAAAACCAAAGTACTTTCGTATAAAGGACATAGAAAGTGTCTTTTGATTATCTTGTACCTTCATACGTAACCATATACAGAGTAATTGCTTTTAAGATATTTTACACTTTAAGCTTTCGATGCACTTACAGTTAAATATAGAACGTATGTACATGAATATTTATCTATGCGTCGATAAGGAATTAACATATTTTTATTTACTGAGAAAAGACATGGATATATTTTTTACATCGCGCGATCCTTGTTAAAAGAAATGTTACCGATTGAGAAAAAAATATTCAAATATTGAGGTCAAAAGATACGTCTTCAATTCACAGTTTTTTTTATTTATCTTAAGAACTTACATTTCTTTGGTGCAAGATTTTAATGAGTTTCGTACGATCAGTGCGATTATAATTTACTGCATTTTATTAATATCTTTCTCTATATAAATATATATATATATATATTTCTTTCTTTGTATACATCTGTTTGAAGGATCTTTATCTTTAAAAGATAAAGGTTTTTGCTAATTGAAAGATATAATTGGATTTCTTTCAAAACTACTTACTTTTTTAATTAAAAGAAAAACATCTAAATTTCATTCTTAAGAAAGATGTACCTCCTCGCTTGTAAATATTATAATATTACCTATTGTGCAAATTTTAAATCACATCTTACTTCTTTTGTAACCCTTGAATCCGTTGATCATGCACAATGGACGACGATTATCTCTGAATTTCATCTTATCTTGCTGTAATTTTAGTATCTCGGTATACGTTTTCACATTCATTGTCCTACTCTCCTTATTGTGGGAGGTCCTTATCATGCCTTATCCTTACCTATGTACCACCTGTGGTAGGTATTATATATATATATATATAAATATACTACTATATACTATGTCGTCTTCTACTCTTCTCTAAACTAGTTCTAACAAACTGAATTTCCTATTCGCATTGTTATTCTCCTTGGTAAGACACCTAATGCAAAGTGCAAATAAGGCAACGACTTTTCCAAAGGAGGTACTTCAGCTTGAATCGGTACATTTATGAATGTGCATGTTCATGTGCATTCAAGTAAAGATTTACTTTCTGCCTAATTTCTCTTAAAAATAATCAAATTTTAAATTTCGCTGGAAAAAAAAGAAAAATACAAAGAGAGAGACAATTATTCGTGTATTCAAATTTGATTTATTTTTTTCTTCTATCTTATTTTCTCAAATCATTCGTCCAAACTCGAAGCTATTATTGGTAAATTCTTTTCTTAACCGATACTATCCGCTCAAAATCGTTTACAACTATTAGACGGTAACTGAGGATTAGTTCTACTCGTTTTATTGGAAAAAGAAGTAGAAATCGGGGGATAAAACGGTCTTACCATTTACTCTCCCTTTCTTTTTTTTAAAAAGTACTTACTTCGATTGTCATATTCTAAGGTCCGGTATTTTAAATTAAAAAATTCCTTGCAAAAAACTGATTTTCTTTTTAATTTTATAAATCAAAGAATAAAGAGAGCACCGATTAATTATTTCATGCTAGAGCGAGTTAAATGTATATACCTAAGAAGTTGTCGCTTACTTCTTTTATCTTTTCAATTACGATATCTCAAGTTCCTCATTGTATTCGACCATTTCAATCGACTGACAAATTATTTCACAATCGGAAGAAAATTAACATTGAATTCTAACGAGGATACAAACAGAAATTTTTTAACGACTTTTATATATGTCGAATCACAAAGATAAATAATAAATAATCTTCGAAAGTACATTAATTCGATTAAAATTATTTTACTTTTGTTTTTTTTTACACTTAGTAAAAAATATTATCGTATTTATATAAAACTTTCATTTCGATTACCTTTACGCTCGAATTAATTGGATCTATAATTTATTTTATTCTACGCATGAATTAATCTATGGATTATTTTGATCGAATTATAACAATCGCGTATGAGTTTTACTCGATATTACCCCACGATTATTTTTAATTGAATATTAAATATTTTCGATAAACCAATCGTTTGATAAATATCAACGATTATACGTGTGTTTATTAATAAATTATTGTTAATCTTTTTTGATTTTTTTTTATAAATAAAAACAAATGATCTGTAGAAACTTTTTCAAAAATAGTTAAATAAATAGATATAAAAACAATAGACTAAAGTTGACGATCCTACCGAGGCGGTTAATCTGGCTACGTTTATCTAATCGCCATAGATCGTGGGGTGGTACAGTAATTGCACAATTGGCAGCAGATTTTGCTGGAAACGTAGGGTAGTGTAATTCGTATCGAGAACTGATTCTCAGCAACGTAATCACATCGAGCGTAGCCAAATTAGTAGTGGTTTACGGTTTAATACGAATGGCGAACACGACTCGGTTCACTGGATAAATAATCACCTACTGCGTAATTACTGTCCGGTTTTATATCTCTGCGTATCATCAGTAATTTGCCAATTTCTAACAAATCATAATAAATTGTAGTAATCGATAAAATGTCATGAAATTATTTGGAATTTTTTTTTAAAAGATACAACACACACAACATGCAAATACATAGTAAAACAAATCCTAATCGATAAATAAGCTTCGTAAATAAACTTTATAAGATTATTAACAAAGTTATAAGTTAATCCGTCTCGTTTTCAATCTCTCTTACTTAAACGTGTTTTTCTGTTCACCTGAAAAAATCTAATATCACATTTCGTGAGCAACACGCTGCGCATTGTAAGCCATTGCATCATAGATTAATGCTTCCACATGAAATCACAATTGCGAGGAATTCCAGAATCCTCGAAGAAGTCGACGTATTCCTCGCCAATCCCTTAATTGTATCTTATCGCATTCAGTTAGCTCAGAGAAAATAAATCTCATGGCTAAGAGAAAAGAGTGTAACAATTTTGAAAAAAAAGAGGACCAGAACTCTTTTTCTTTTCTCCTTCATTGTTACATCAAAGAAAAATTACTCATAATCTTTTATTTAACTTTTTTAACTAATAACTTATTTTGTTTATACATGAGAGAAAAAAGTCATTCGTGATTCAAAAGGTAACATTGTTATTTCATCGAATTCCACGTTATTATAATTCGCTATTTATAATACAAAGCACACTACATTCTTTTTAAGATAACATTTAAAGTTCTTTCTGATTTTGCAAATGTAGAAAAAAAGCTTAAGTTCTCGTAAAACCCCTTTAACCCTTTACTTCTGTAAGGTCGTTAAACTCGTCGAAATCTTGGAACGTTTACTGACTCTAAGTAAATATGCTTTCTACGATCTCACCTCGGATAGGAAGAATAACTGTATGCACACATCCTCTATTCATTCACATAGAAAAGATGTTTCACGCTTGTTGATAAACCGTTCCCCAACATCTATTCAATATTAATAGATCATTACGAAAAAAAAATAGTTACTTTTTTTTAAAAAGAACTTTTTTCATTTAAAGCTCGCGATTCACGTAAAAACTTGGCAATAATAAGAACACTATCGAAACAGTATAATACTCTTTATAGATGATATAAAACGAAATAGTTTTAGTACTTTCAAAAATTAATATTTTTATTCTTGCCTACTATATTTAATGACTATAATGACGGCAAAATATTAAAAATTCTGTAAATGCATAAACAAATTCGATAATAGCTATATACAATATGTATACAAATAATTACATTTTGATGAACGTAAAAAGTTACCTTACTTTGAGTAATAACAAAAAATCTACATATATATTTTTAATAAAATTTGTAAGATTACCGATCGCTGTACAGACACCCACGATCCTTGTTAATGTTCCCAAATGCGTGTCGGTTGATCTAACGTAAATCGACATGCCGTCTTCACAGTTATTTTCGCTTGTATGGTTCACACGTGTCACCATAAAAAAAACAACGCGATTAAACAATATAGTTGTAATATCCGAAAGAAAGCGTATTCCTTGAAAAATTCGAACTTGTATTTCTTCGTAATTGTATCACGTACCGCCGATCCGTTACTACGTGATTCGAATCAAAAGGTTAGGAATCACTAAGATGGAACCCAAGCACAGAAAAATGAAACTTTTAATAAATAAAAAGACTTGATAATTTCTACAAAAAATCATAAACAATAATAATTAATAAAATATATAACAATGATATACGCGTAACAATAACAATCATTTATATAATCAAATACTGTATATTATTTGATTTGTAAAACGAGACCGGAAGAGGCATGGAAATAATCGTCCAATGTAAACGGACTTGATTTAGCGGCGCGAAATATAAACGTTTGAAATGACGCAACACCTTCTTTATTCGAAAGGTCGCGTACAACTGAGAGGGTAAGCCCATCCAGCAAAATTGTCACAGCATCCCCATGCCGAAATCCACACCTGCGCACTTGATATTTACTTTTACTCCATCTCTCCGTACATGATTTTATTTGCATCTGCGTAGAAATTGTGTTAAATTGTTAATACAATTTTCAATTAAAAATTTACTAATAATAAATTTACCAGTATTAATTTAATGATAACTATTTCTTTCATGTAGTTTTATAGCATTATATATATACTTTGTACGGCTTTTATGATATTCAAGAAAATAATCATTCGTATAAAATTTAATTGCTTTTTATTCTAATTTATTTGATCATAGATTTCGTATTTTTTAATGTATCGAAATGATAATATTATTATTATCTTTTTCTTATTTATTTTTCTAAAGACATTTTATATAACAATGTATATATAAAATGTATAATGTATAWATGTTGTAACATGTATATAAAATGTCGAATGAAATTGCATTGTAAGATAAACTATAAATGTCATTGGTAATCCTCGATANCAGATTCTAAGTAAATTACACGTTTACTAAAAAGTAAGCAATAATCATTCATTGAAATACTTCATCTGTTTACAATATACGTGTTTTTACGTACAACAATGTGCAATTATAAAAATATATTTAATTACTCACGAAAACATGTATATTACATATCCATATAATTACTAGACATCGAGTGAGGTAGACATCGTTACGATACAGTTAATTAATGAACAACAGTATTTAAAATACACATATACTACATATATAATATCAATAAAAATATTATTTTACTATAATGTTAAAAACATTAAATATTATAAATAGTTCTATGTTGCGCCCACTATATTACATTTTATATTGTATTCAAGATAAAATAAAATGTATTGCATACCTTGTATAATATAATAATTTTTTAAAATAATTTTAATATTAACAAAAAAAAATTCATATTAAAAAAAATTCCTGATTCTTATAAGGATACATAATGTGATATGCTCATCATATTATATAATAAAATATTCGTATTCTTGCATTGTGAATATTCAATTAATTATTTAAATTAAATTATATAAATAGAATTTGAATAGATCTTCTTCGATTTTATGGTCCCATAGTTAATCTCTTCAGATATTGATAAAGCTACATATATATAATATCTTACGAATCTTATTATATATATAAAACTAAACATTTCGAAATAATAGAAGCATATTTTATAATTCACATTATAAGCAATATATACTATCAAACGTATATTAAATATTATTTTTTATTTTTGAGTAAAACATTCTTTTTCCTACTTAAAATGTTTCTAGGACTGTAATCCCAATTACTTATAAATAAAGCTGACTTTGGAGCTTGTCCTGTAGTAATATGCTTACCTTGAAGTTCTAGAATATCATTATTTTTATCGCGTATAATTTTTGCAGTAGAAGGCATTATTGAATGTGAAATAGGACTTAAAGGTTTTATACTGCGCTGTAACACAGCTGGTGATGCAGCCAACGACAATGATCTATAATAAATAATAATAATGATAATAATAATAATAAAAATATTGTTATTTATATTAAATATTAAATATTAAATAAAATATTAAATATATTAAAAAACACAGAAAAATAAAATGAGAGTAAACGCAAAGAAAACAAAGATCATGATATTCAGAAACGGTTAGAAAGGAAAGGATTAGGAAAAGTTAAGAAAAGGTAGGAATGGGAAATTAATAGGACAAAAGTGGAGGTAGTAAAGGAATTTAAATACTTAGGATATTGGTTCACAAGTAAAAATTCGGTTTGTGTGCATGGGAAAAAAACAACAGGGAAAGCGCAAAAAGCGGCGAATATGGTATGGAGGGATATGGAAAAGGGCAGGGAGAAATGCTATGGAGGATAAGGCTATACCTTCTGGACTCAATAGTGAAAGTAGGAGTAATGTATGGAATAGAGATATGGGGGTTGGTTGAAATAAAAATATTTGAAAGGATACACAGCAAATACTGCAAAATGGCATTAGGAGTGAGCAAGACAACGCCAAATTACATATGGAGAAGAGAGCTGGGAATCCCAACGATGGAATTTCTGATAAAAGAAAGAGCGTTAAGATATATCAAGGAGGTGATAAAAATGGAGAAATCCAGGTGGCCAAAAATATGCGTGATGGAGGAAGTAAGAGCGACAACGAACGGTACGCTCTCAAAATGGGGAGAGAATTTAGTTAAAGTGTTGAGGGAAATGGGTATTGAGGAAATGATAGAGATGATAAGAGAAAGAAGAGAAGATGTGAGGATAGAGGAAAAGATAAAAGAGGGATTAGAAGAATTGAAAAAAGAGAAGCTTAAGGGAAGAAGGGGAAAAATAAGAAAGTCAACATATAATAGTATGTACAAACATATAATAAAAAACGATGAAATGCCATGGAAGTATTGGTCAGAAGAAGGAGTGAGGGGAGGTATTAAGGAAGTTTGGGCAAGGTTAAGGTGTGGCAACATAGGAAAGGCGGGAAAGAAAGGAGAAAAGAACTGGAAATGTAGATTATGCAAAGAACAAGAAGCATTTGATAACTTGCGAAAAAGGAAGAGAATTGGTTTCCGAGAAGAGAAGGAAGGAGATAGAGGAATGGGTGGATGGAATAAAGGAAGGCGCTATAAGAGGGGATTTAATAAACATGTTCGGCGGTAAAATTCAGGTTGGGATTTGTGAATTTTTCAGAGAAGTTGAGGAGCTGTGTAAAAGGAGGAGGATAGAGGAAAATGGGAGGGAAGGCGAAGACGAATACGAGTGAGATTTAGTTAGTTATAGTTATAGATAGTTTGATTTTAAGATTGCTGAAAAATATTAATAGAGGAGGGGTGAGTAGAGCATAAACCAAAAATGTGAGAAAAAATATAAGTAAAGTAATGATAAGACATTGTAAAAAACTTTGTAAGTTGTGCAATAAAAACCTGATTATATATATATTAAATTAAAAAATAATATTAATATTTAATATTATTTGAATTAATTATTATTATTATTATTGTATTATGCGATGCAATTCATTAATATACCTATTTTTGCTGCTGGGAAGCCTTGAAGTATCTATAGGAGCAAGTCTAAGATTTTTCGGCCACACAGCTGGAGATACAGGGGTTTGCCAAGCAGAATGATTATCCGGCATTCTAATACTGTTTGACTTCCATGGTTTAATGTTAGAAAATGAATTTCTAGCAGATCCTATAACAAGACATTATCGTATATTATAATCTACTACTACAATAAATCGCTCCTAGAAATAGCAATAAAAAAAAGCTATTAGAACAGGACAAAGTCCTAATAAAATGAGGAAGAAGATAATCTACTACTATCTAATATTTTATAATACTCTACATTAAAATCATTTATTTTCACCTTGAGAAGTTGAGATTTCTAAAGCTTGTTCCATGAATCTAATGGGAATAGTTTTTAAAGTAGAAAAACTTTCTCTAGTTGATACAGCAAAAGGCACAGGGCTAACAACAATCTTTTCATTAAAAACAGTACCGAGTTTATTTCTGTTTTGCTGTGGAGTATATAGTCTTTCCCTTTCATCATTTACATCATTTTCCACTTTCTGTAAAGCTTTTATTTTACTCGCAGAAATGGAATGTTTTTTTCTCCTGTTAATATAAATTTATTTCAATACAATACATATATATATATATATAAATTGTGTCATAAATATTTGTATTTATTTAAATATACCTTTGAGGGAAACGTTTACTCCTTGTAATAGTTTCAGATTTTGATTTGTCCAAACTATTCTGATCATGTTGTTTCACATTATAGAAATCCGAAGAATCATCTTCAAAATCTTCACGATACAAAATTTGATCACTCGATCTAGTAGATTTAGAACTTTTTGTAAATGTTCTATTTCTACACATAGATGCAGTAGTAATTTTTAATACTTTATCTAGTTTACTATCTAATGTGTCTGTATCATCGTTTTTATTTGGAAATAATTGAGAATTTATGTATTCCGAGATAATATTAAATACTTCTTCTTTTAATTGTTTATATTGCTGATTTTTTAAAGATTCATTGGTATTCTGTAAACAATTGTCTTCACAAAATAACACATTTTCATTTAGAATAATACTTTAATTTAAGAAGAAATATGAGATTCTAAATATATTATTGTTAGAAATATAAACATACATACACATATATATACCTTTGTTGCCTGATCACATTCAATAGATAGTTTTAGACTATCACTATAATCGAACGGTTTTTGTACTTCTCTATTATCTGTGCTACAATCTGCAGATTTACTAATATTTTCATCAAGTAATCCTTTTCCAATAACTCTCAGATGTGGTATTTGCATTTTCCATTGCATACATTCTTCAAAAATTTCATTGTTGGACAAGTTATCAGTTTCATTATAAAGAACCCTTTCAATTGCATCCCATTGTTGAAGTAATTTCTCAGTTGCAACATTTTCCATTTCCTCAGGCCATGACATAGACGTTGAGATACTAGCTCGATCACAACTTATTGGACTAATAATTCTCTTAGAAAACTCTTTTATTTGTAAGTTTGGTAATGGTGTTCCACGTAACTCATGTTCATAAGATTCATCGTCTCGTAGTCTTAATAAATGTTGAGGTGCTTTTATCTTCTGTGTTGTTGAACTAAACCTATAAATAAAAAGTATATTCTTTGAGTTATTTTTTTAAAACAATTGAAAGCAACTTTAAGAGATAAATAATAATTATTTTACAATTATATATTATAAGTTGTAAAATTAATTTATAAAATTATTATAGCAAAAAATTTAATTTATACATTGGCACTAATTAAAATTCTTGAAATCTTAAGTACAAACGTACACATTTCGTTTAATTGTCTTTTTATGCATTTCATGCTTCCAAAATTATGGCACAAATCATTAAAAATTATTATAGAGATTATAATAGAAAGTCCTTGAGAAAGGTATAATCACGAATCTTGTATAAGAATCACTGTTGCTATTGATTATTTTACTAATAGCCAAGTAGGTAATTTAAAACATTTCAATGACTCCAAAGTAATTCCCAATTTCTTAATTAGATGATACATCTCTTTAAAATATTATAAATCATGTAATTCTTTATAATGCAATCAATCTCTTATTGAAACTTTTATAATCATTATTTCAAAATTTTACGCGCAATAATATGAACATATGATTGGAATACATCGATCACGATTGGTCAAAAATATATAACAGTTAACGCTGATTGGTTAATATTTAGAATAAAAATAAATTATATGATTAATCATATCATTTAATATTACGTTGTTACTAAATCGTATTTATATTTAATAAATTCTACATATTTCACGTATATATCTGTTTAATAAATGATAAAAAGTCTTATTAAGATAATTATTGTAATTACTTAATTGTTATTGATTATCGAGTCTTAACCAATTACAAGCTTTGTTACAAATAGATTAAATTTTAAAGCATGCCCAATCAAATAACAGAACTTAAAGATTTAAAAAGATTTAAAAATATAAAAATATATGTACTGAAAAAGCATCAAAAATAATAATATAATAATAATTTAATACGTTAAAATATATTTCTACAATAAAGATCTAAAAACTAATAATATTGAATTATAATCATGGATATAAATAAAATACGAATAGCAATAGTTTTACTCATTATTGTTATCAGTTTTTATATGCATAAATGCATTAAAAGTATGTATTCCATAAAAACGTAAATGAAAAGTCTTAGTACTAAATGTATTTAATTTCATATCAATTTTTTATCATTTTATTTTTAAAACAATATTTTAAATGATTCTGTAGGAAAATATTATATAACGAAACCTGTTATTATGCCTTCTGAAAAATCCAAAAAGAAAAACTTCTTTAATCAATATACATTGAATCAAACAATTGTTGATTCAATGAATCATAGAAAAATATTGTTGCAATTACATGAAGCAGCCGATGTAAGTTTTATTTAAAGAATTTAAGAATTATTTTAAACTTTTTATTACCTTCTAATACTAATAATATATTTATATTAATGTCATTATTAGAAATGCTATATGAAAGCATATGCACTTAGGTGCATTTATTTAATTAGTTACTGTCCCTATTTAATTAATATTCCACATGAACCTAACGGATATACACCATTTCACAAAGTGTGCTTTCATGGAAATACTTGTTTGATCGAATATATGCTTGCGAAAGGTAAATTTTACAATATTAGATATATATTAAAATAGGTATTTGGTAATTGTATTTAACATCAAGAATTAATGAAAAATTTATATTATATATAGGTGCTGATCCTTTTCTTACAACTTATACTGGTGAAAATGCTATTTGTATGGCATTACACTTTTTCCTTAATAATCCTAACAATAATGATTTTACTTGCTTAAATATTCTTTGTGAAATAGGTTTGTAGAAAATTGTAAATAATTCATATTTACAATTTATGTGCAACTACAGTTTTATATATCTTATTATAAATTAAATCTAATTTCTTTTATTGTTTTTTTTTATCACAGGTTGTTATTTAGATATATCAAATGTACACTATGATATTTTTATGAATGCAGCCTTAAATAATCATAACAAGCTTTTAGCAAAATGGATTTTATTGAATAGTAGAACAACGAAACTTTCAAGAAGTTATTCAAATCTATGAAATTTCATATACTGTATAATTTACAGTAACGACCAATTAAATGAAATATATAATTTGATGATTTACACAATGAATTATTAATTTGTTTTTATTACTTGATGTTTTATTCTTTCATTTAATGATTATATACGTTTAATGATATGAAATAAAATAATTTCACAATTTGTTGTGTAAATTCAATTAATTCATAATTTTTAGTTTAGAATAAATTACATATATAAATGTTATATGTAATCTATTTAATAATGAAGTGACAAAATCCACTAACACAAAAAATAAGTAGATATAATAAAAATTTATATTATGTATTTGTACAAGTCATTTAAAAACTAACCTCTTTATATAGTTGTTTATATTAGTCACAGTCATAGTATATACATATGTATATATCTTACATATGACCTCAGTCGATTGTTTCATTTATCTATTCATAACGCGAGAATAACTTTCAAATCCTAAAAACAATACATTCTTTCAATTAGTTAAATTTGTAGTATATTTAGAATAATCGCCATATTCAACTTTAAACAAGCATTATTTTAAATATAATATTTTTCTAGTATAATTCTATTGAAAAAAGGTTAGATTTATATTTAAATATGTTAAATACTGGTTTGTTAATTTTAACCAATCCCAATAGGATTTCGCTGTTATTAACATTTGTTAACAAACATATTTTAAAGACATTATATATTCAATATTTGCCAGAACAACATTTATTTCCACCAGAAAATTGTACTCTTAAATTACATAAATTACCTTATTATGCTGAAACCGTTGCCAATATTTATAAAGTAGCTTCTCAAATGTGTTATAGACTAGATATACGAATCTTATTAGCACGTTTAAAAGATCCTACTTTTGCTGTTATAAATACAAAAAATCCGGTGGAAATAGTCATTTTTGATAAAATTATTAACTCTAAGACAATTGATATTTTTATACAAAACTGTATTGTTAATGTATCACGTGAATGCAATTATTTAACATTTGCTGCTAAAAAGGAAGATGGAACACATAGCAACGTTGGTCAATGTACAAGTATACAGAAAATGCATAAAAGTGTTGTTTTGGGTGGTACATTTGATCGTTTACATAATGGACATAAAATCTTTTTAAGTGAAGCTGTTTTGTATTCTGAAGAGAAACTTACAGTTGGCATAACGGATACAAACATGTTAACTGGTTAGAAATTTTACTATTAAGGTAATGTTTTCAGTTATTATATTTAGTCATGACTAACAGCCAACTAACAATGATTTTAGGAAAATTGCTATGGGAGTTAATAGAACCATGTTCTAAAAGAATATCAAAAGTAAAAGAATTTTTAGAAGATGTAGATCCATTGGTTTCGTATGATATTGTTCCCATTAATGATATGTATGGTCCAACTAAAGAGGACCCTACCATGGAAATGTTAGTAGTTAGTGAAGAAACTAAACGAGGTGGAGATAAAGTTAATTCTTTGCGGTTACAGAAAAATTTAAATGAATTGGTGATTCATGAAGTAAAATTATTATTTGATGAAAATCGTAAAGAACATGAAGAAAGTAAAATTAGTTCTAGTAATCAAAGAATGAGATTACTTGGTACAAGATTAGGAAATGTTGTATGTATTTACTTGATACTAGACTTCTTTATTTGTTTTTATTAATATTATTAATAATTTTTCAGATAAACGAAAATAAAACACTTAAACCATATATTATTGGATTAGTTGGTGGTATAGCAAGTGGCAAATCATCAGTTGCTGAGGAATTAGTAAAACTTGGTGCTGGATTTGTGAATTGTGATAAAATTGCACATGAATTGTATCTTCCTAAAACCAAAGGTTTTGAAATAATAGTTTCACAATTTGGTAGAAAAATAGTTGATGCAAATGGCTTTATTAATAGAAAAGTGCTTGGAAATATTGTATTTAACGATAAGGTAAATTTATGTTTATAATTTGTGCGATGACAAGTCTATTCCCATTATTTTTTTTAATTATTGGATAATTTTTTGTTATATTTAGAAAGAATTAGATAAACTAAATAAATCAATGTGGCCTATAATTTTGGAAAAGGCTAAAGAGAAGATACAAAATCTATATAGTGAAGGATATAATATTATTTTAATGGAAGCAGCAGTTTTGATACAAGCTAATTGGCAGAATGAATGTCATGAAATTTGGACTTGCATTATTCCACCAGAAGAGGTTTGTTCAATATTATTTAATATTATATGTATATTAATAATAATATACATATGTGTCTTATTGAGAAATGATACATATATTAAATGTATAGGCCATTAAAAGAATTGTAAGAAGAAATGATTTATTAGAGGATGAAGCAGAAAAAAGAATAAAGATGCAACCAAGTAATGTAGATCTAATTAAAGAAGCTAATGTTGTTTTTTGTACATTGTGGGATTATGATTTTACAAAAGAACAAGTACAAAATGCATGGGATGAATTAACAGATTATATATCACCATATGTAAGCTATTAATATAGCGGCGTTATTTTTAACAATAAAAAGGGGAATAATATGTATGTTTAATTTTAGTTTCTAAATTCATTCTTTTCTTTTTAACTCTTATTTTTTTTCTTATACACAAATTTTTCACATGCTGGAAATAAAATTTAACTACATTATAGATTTTATTACGATATCTTTACGTATATAATATTTTACTAAATTATCAGGTCAGTCCAAAAGTTCGCGCGCATTAGTAGCATGTATGTCGATTTTGATAACGACGTTCTTAAAAATCTTGTGGAGTTAGAGCCACATTTAACAGTGGATCAGATCGCAAAAAAGATGCATTCATCTCATGGGACAGTCTTTCGTCATTTAAGGGGTTACATGGGTTTACACCGGGAAAAAATAGCATATTTTCAACAATTTTTTTTTCTATATAAAAAATGGAATTCTTATTCAAACTTTTTATAGTATTTAAGATACATATTTAAAGAACATTTTCTGAATTTTTGGTTGAAAAATATTTTAAACTCGGCCACTGCGACGTCATTTCCGGTGACCCCACCGAAAAAAGTGTTTTCGCGTTGACAGCAGAACTTATAAACGGTGGGGGTTTTTCTGTTGAAAAAATAGGGTCTTTTAGTAAATACTTAAAACTAGAAACTGGACGAAGGAAAAAGAAAAAAATTAAAATTTGGATTTTTGGCAACGTTTTTAGCAAGAACATCCAAATTTCGCTACAATTTGCACCACATTTTGGTTTCTTAAAATTCGATTTTATGAAAAAAACAAAAATCCTTCGTCCAAGTCCTTGTAAATAGTATCACAAAGACGTGTAGCAAATTTCATCAAAATCCGTTAAATAGTTTTCGAGAAATCTTGACAACCGACTTTAGTAAAAGCGTTTTGAGAAAAACACGTTTAAAGATTTGAGTGCTGGTATAAGAGCTATTAAAGAGTGAAACTTCCCAGGGCTCTATCTTTAAAACTACTACTCCTATCGACTTCAAAATTGAATACAATATTCTAGATGAGTTGTAGAATTGAAAAAAAAAAAAAATAAAAAAAAAAAAATTTGTTTGAAAGTCCCAAACCCATGTAACTCCTTAAAGGAGATTAGAAAAGTATCCAAGCTTGGAAAGTGGATACCACACGAGCTAAATGCGCACGAACTTTTGGACTGACCTGATAATATAATAATTATTTAACAAATAAAATGTTATTTGTTAATATCGTTTTTTCTTCTTGATCCACATAGTCTTGCATTTTAGTCATGAGTGAGCTTAAAAATGAACGAAAGTCAGCCTGCAATTTATTACCACTTTCTTCTATGTCACATCTAACATGTGATACTTTGGGAAACGCGGATGCTATATAAGTAAATAAATTATTTTTTTTTTTAAATTACAATTAGTCATTAATTTGTCTTATTTTTTCACTTACAAATTGATTTTGATAATTCTGATTGAGTTTTATCTGGATCATAACAAAATATTACACACATGTCAGGACCTAATTTAGTCTGCGTAACAAAATAATCATAGAAGTCCTGCATTTCTTTTAAACAATTTTGTTTTCTTCTACTATATATTAACATCACACCATGTAAATCTTTCTTTATAGCGGGCCAACAAGTTTTAAATCTGTAATATGAATAAATCAGAAGAATATATAATCTAATAATACATTTAAAACATACTATATGCCTAACTTACATACTTGTAATCACCACTGCAATCCCATAATTCAATATCTTTTGAAACAGTTTTATTATTTACTATAATTCCTTGTGCTTCTGCTTCCAGTATTCTTACACCATATGTTGGATGATAATAGTTAGGAATTTCTGAAGCATCAGCAAGAAAATTTGATATTGTGGTTTTACCACTCTAAAAAATATTATTTATTTTAAGAATAAAATATTAAAGAATGATTTATATTTAAATGTATGCTATTTTTTTATTTAAAATTATTAAATCAAAAAGATTTATTTAAGTATTCATAATTATTAACATTATTAATTCGTTAAATCTTACCTCCAATGGTCCAATTACAACTAACTTTAAAGCTTGCATAATTATTTATATTTTTCACTACAATACAATTTTTAATTTTTCCATATTGCTGTATCATGTCCTTGAAGACAATTTTTGTGTACTACTCTGTTTCCACGGTAACCATTCACATAAAATATATGCTTAATTATACAACAAAGTGAGTAAGCATATTTATATAAAATCATAATTATTTTAATTATAAATAATACCATATAACCATTATTATGTATATATTATATACATATATAAATATATATTATATTATAATTTATTGCAGGTTAGTGTATATATCGTAATAATGTTTAATACTAGTATTATTAATTTATTTATAAATAAAGTGTGGTTTTATAGTATATATTTATATTATAAAGTATTTAATAAAAATAAATTTTAAGTCATATAGTGAGAACTAATACATGTAATAATAAATTACATTCACAAACCTTATGAATAAAAATATAAACAAAATGTATGCTTTCTTCTGAATATGCAGTTACAAAATCGTTATATTAATAATATATCGGCAAAATGTCGAAAATTGTTTGAGTGGTATGTTTCTTTACCTTAAAAGATTTTCCGAATGTTTGATAAGACATAAGTGCAAATACAATATATTTATCTAAAACTGTTTCATTTCTTTTACAATTTGTGTTATATTATACATAATTGGATGAGAATATTACCTTCTAAAATATGTTTTTTGTTTTTCATATAGCTTATAGATTATTACAAAATATTTCTGAATCTATACATTCATAAATATAAATAATTTAACTTTACACATGATTATTTTCATCATTTCTGTATAATAATCTAATAATTATAATTTGTAGCATATTGTAAACATTTATTTGGACAAAGAAAATAAAAGAAGAGCAATGGCGGTACATATATTGAAGAAATATGTTGTAATTAATGTGTAAACATTACTTTCACGCACTCTTAACATCATCTGAATGATCAACTTTCATTTCTTCAGGATAGTTTAATCCATATAAAGCTAATAATGCGGCTTTTGCTGCTATTTTTTTAGCATCCTTCTTATTTCTTGCTGCAATGGAAGAAATATATATTCTAAGTACTTGTTTATAAATTAATTTGACATGACATATAAAATCGATTTCTATGTATTTATTAAATTTATTATTTTTACATACCTGAACCAGAATAGCTGATACCGTCAATTTCTACAGCTAATGTAAACATTATAGTAGGTGGATTTCCAAGACGGCTTACTTCTACATATGTTAATCCTGGTTTCATTTGATTTAATAACATGACAGGATGTATAGTGGCTGCATTTGGTGGAAGTTCTTTTTGAACAGTAACTTTATTTGCACTAGCAACTATTTTCTTTGATCCTTTTAGCGGAGAAGGCAATCCTGGTCTTGGTACTGGTACTGATGTTCCTTGATTATGCCATTCCAGAAAAAGTTTATAAAGTGCAAAACTTGCTAATGAACTCCATGGAACTTCTTCGCTTTCATCAACATTAACATCCACTGCCATTTGTCCATCTTCTGTATTTTCATCCTTTGTAGACAATGTATGTTCTAAAGATTGACTTACTTGTCCATCTGTTTCAGCATCCATACGTGCTTTCATACTAGCTGCTGTCATTTTTTCAAGTAATAATGCTTTTAAAGCATTTTCAGCAGCATTTTGACGTGCAAGTGGTTTAGATAATCCTTGACCAACATATGTTTTTCCATCAAGCTACCAATTATATACATAATATTTATTCAGAACAAATATATAGAATAAATATTCATTATGAACAATTAATGTTTTTTACCTCTGCATGAACAAGATAAAGAGCATTTGGCAAAGTTCCTTGCGTTTCAGGAAATGTAAATTGCACTCCAGCTTTCATTTCATTAAGAACCATAATAGCATTTTTTGGTTGAAGAGTTTTCCTCAAACGTTGATTTAATCGAAGACGTTTCAATTTTTTGTTTACCTTAACTACAAATACAATTTTATTAGTGAATTGAGAAAAGTATAAAATATAATATTAATTAGCAGTATATAGTTTTTAACTTTATCAGTACACTGATTCACATTGTTGTTCGAGTGGCTTAGCTCAAGGAGTAAATGACCGAGCAAAAGCTAAACATCTTCAAATTTGCGCAGCGTTTGTCATCATATTGATAATAAAATATACAACATTTTACAGGAAATATTACATATGTACACACATAATACTTACATCCAGGTACTTTACGTCTCCATCTTGGTTCTAATGGATCAGAATCTGCATTTTCAGCTTTGACATCAACATTTGCATCAATGGTATTATTGCCAATTGTATCTGAGATAATCAATGATGACACACTTTTAGATGTAGAAGCAAGTTGTTGAGAAGTGCCAGATATGTTGTGTACAATAAGATTAGTACTCGATCCCTGCTTAAGTATCGGTTTTAGGCGCTGTGGTGTTTGGGTATTAGATGATGGTAGTTGTGAAGGTGGTTGCTGCTGCTGCTGCTGCATATGTTGCTGTTGCTGTACATGCTGCTGCTGCTGTTGCTGTACATGCTGCTGTTGCTGTACATGCTGCTGCTGCTGCTGCTGCTGCTGCTGTTGTTGCATGTGTTGCTGCTGTTGCTGGATATGTTGCTGTTGGTGCTGCATTAATTGAGATTTCAATTGTTGTCTTGTCATACTAGTTTGTTGTATCTGTACTTGTTGCTGAGTTTTAAACGGTTGTGAAGTTTGCATATTTCCTTGTTTGTAAATAGCTTGTTGATTTCCAATTGGTTGTGGAAACTGATAATTCCCTTGCTGACTAAACTGTAAAATATAGGGTGGGTCGCCGCTACACAAGGAACCTCTACGGTTGTGCTATCCCACCAAGGTCTAGCATCGTATATGTACTTAAAAGCAATCTATTGCTACCCCCATAGCTCTTACCTGCCAAGTTACCTTTGACCATAGCCAATGTTTCTTTACTCATGACTCAGCTAAGTTAAAATATATTGATTATTATAAAATAATTTAAAAAGTAATATTAAAAATAGTAATGTGTAATTGTAAATAATGACGTATGTGATAAATTATAATCTATCCTTCAGAATATGTTCTATGTATGATATGTGATACAAAAAAAAATATAAACAGAAAAAAATCTGCATTAAGAGTTTAAGGAGTACTGTTAAAATAAAAAATATATAAAATAAATCATAGCTTATTATCGATGATTTAATGACGTTAAAACAATTCAATTTGCTTAGACATGAGTTCAGTACAAATTATTAAGACAACGGCCTATGGCCTATGACAGGCTATGCTATGTGGGTAACAGACGATCTAGCCCCTGGCCGACCGCACTTCCTCGGTATTGTTGTATAGCTACTAGTACCTGCGTTGCAGGGGAGGGGAAAGTAGGGACCACTAATTAGTACATGCAAATGGATACAACTTTGGAAACAACAAAAGGTACATTTTAATACATCTATATATGTGAAAATTTAAATATATTGCATATCTTGTGTAATATATTTGGGATATTCTATTTAATGTTGATATAGTAAAAGATTTGGTATTAATAAAACTTTTATGCCCATAAAAAATGTAATATAAAAGTATATATTAACAAATAAGAGGAAACTTACAGAATTTTGATTCTGGAAAGGAGCCTGATTATTAGGATTTTGTGTTCTTGCTGTAACATATGTATAAATATACTTTTATTGTGTTTTATATAAGAAACGTTATATAGTAGGAATAATAAAATATTTAGGTTGTTTAAATCAAAATAAATCGTATAATCAAATTATTGTGTCATCTAGGAAAATATATTGTTTTTCAGCAATATTATTTAATAAATAAGTATGAGATCTTTATGTAAACCAACAAGTTATTCTAGGCAATCATAACTAAGTTTTACGAATAAAAGAAAAGAAAAAAAAACCAAAAACAGAAAAAAATAAGAAAAAGAGAAAAATACAAATAATATTAAAAAAAAAGACAAGGACATAATCAATAATATTGATTTTTTATTATAATGGATTTCAATATTTATTAATAAATATTTGTTTCCGTTTATAAATAATCATATGTATATATATATGAATTTATTTGTTATTAACGTTTTTATATATCTTAAATATAAAAATAAACTTTTTACTGTTCTTACCGCTGGGATAGCCCTGACTTAGTCTATTTCTTGTAAACATTTTTATCTTCTTAATAAAATAGTAGAATTGTCTTAAATGTTATTAATTATTAAACTTTTAACACCCCAATAACTATGGTATCATTTAGTACTTTTTAAATATATATAAAACAATGTAATTTTTTCGTTAAATATTACAGTGATATCTAGCACGCCTGCCATTTAATCATGAAGAAGGAAATGACGCTATGAAGTTACCCCTACCACTTTTGAGAATAGGAAATATGAATTTTGAACAATGCGCATGTGCGAAATGTTGAACTAAATGTTATAGTTACAATATTTAAGCATTTCAATATTTAGGCATTTGCGAGGATTTATATCGTGAATTTTCTCGATCGTAATTTTCGTTCGATTTTAGTAATTAAAGGACTACTCGAAAGATAAAGATTTTTTTACACGTGATGATTATTTGATATTTTCTTAGAGTTGCTTATTAGATGTAATAATTAATTCGGTGCCTTTTAAAAAAATTTAATATTTATTTATAAAGTAATTATACATCTATCATTCTTTAAAACAGTTTCCATTATTTTCGATAACTTTGGTCTACTCTTCAGATAATTAACGAATTCAGTAACGAGACAAAAAAAATAGTGATTTTGAGGCAATGAGTTTAATATCAAAGCATCGAATAAATTTCTACACCTACTAATTTCATGAAAATACCTTTTAATAAAGATATATTTTTTAGGCATAAATTTTGTGAAGAGAATAATATTTTTTTGTAAATATCAGAGTTAGTCAAAGTTATCATCTCATGTAAATAACTTTTATTTTTCAAATGAGCTTTTGATCACACTCAAATCGAATAAAAGAATTTATTAAGGGTATGAAGTCCTTGAAAACGTCTAAGAAAAGATGTCAATTGAATAAAAGTGTTATAGATCGTATTTTTATTTATTTCTTTTATGAAATAATCTACGTAATAATTTGATGTGTTTTAGATATTTTCAATTTACGCGCGTTGAAGACGCAAGGGACACAATACATTTAATTATAGAAAGTGCTTTTAGTTCACTTTTTCCTGTAAACACATCGCAAGCGACATATTGGGTAAATAATTATAAAATCATTTGAATATTTAAAGTTGTTTTTGTTAATAAAAGGTTGCATTAATATTTTTATTTTACAACTTATACGGCATAAAATTGTTTTTCTAGCTGTAGAATATTGGGACAAAATATTATAAAACAATTGAAAAATAATTTAAATATCTGCATTTTTAAAATATCACAACGTATGGTATTCCTAAAAAAAAAACTTATACATTTATACAATAAAAGTGCCATACATATGGTGCAAAATGCAATTCATAATTACAGAATTTATATAAAGCTATGTAATGTTTTTATATAATACAAAAATTCTCTATGTATCATCTTAGTCATAGTACTAATATTAATTTTTTTTGCTCATAGTAAACCCTCCATTTCTTGCATAAACTGCATATATGCATCATCTTTTGTTTTAGGTTGTGTTGTCCGAAGTGGTTGAGTTTCTGGTAATCTTTCTGACAATCTAGATATGTTGCTTGGTTTTCTTTTATCATCTCGTTTTACCCGCAAAGATGTTGGCAAAAATCTTGTAACATCTGCAGCTAAATTTCGAATTTGAGGCTTCGCTTCAATAGTTGTTGTATTCTTCCCATCTTTATCCTTTCTGTTAATTAATTGAGGAGCAGCAGATAATACATTAGGAGTCTTAGGTTGTGATCCTGTTCCTGATTGTGTTTGCATCTGAGCGTTTCCTATATTTGAAATATTAGATAAACTAGGCATTTGCATCTGTGGTGGTGGCATTCTAGGCATACTCGGTGGACCAGGTCGTAACATTCTAGGCAATCCAGGTGGAGGGCCTGTACAAATATTTTGTATATAATTAATTTATTAATAATGAAATTATGATTGCTTGTGTAATTAAATTGAACATATTATAATATAATAATTATGTATTACCAGGTGGAAGACGAAGTCCGATACGAGGTGGTGGTGGTGGAGGCATTCGAAGATGTAGTGGTGGAGGTGGTGGCCTGTATAGAAGTGGAGGTGGTGGAAGATTCATATGAGGTAAATTATGTTGCTGTGTGTGTTGTGTGTGAGAATGAGATGTATGTTGATTATGTCCTGAAGAATGCTCAGATGCTCCTGGAGGCTCGAGTTCTTCATCTTCTGCTTTGTTGTTAGATTTATTATTGGATTTAGAATTAGGTTCATTTTCTGCCTCAAGTAATGATAAACGAGCATTTAAGTCTTGAGCACGTTCAGTTTCTCGCTTTTTATGAACAACTTCCATTTCACGCATAAATTGATCGATATCTTGACCTGCCATGGCCAACATTTTTTGTTGCAAGGTAGTTGGTTTAACCTTTGCCATTTCTCTATCTTTATCTTTATCTTTCTCTAAATCTTTTTCTTTATCAGAATCTTGTTTGTTATCATCTCTATCATCCGCAAAACGTATTGTTCTTGATTTTGCTGGTGCATCTTTATTCTATATATTGTATATATAAAACAGTCACAAAATTAATCAAGTCTATAATCAAGAAATTAATTGAAAAATATTCACTTATTATAATAATAAATATATAGTATTATACCTTTTCTGTAACATCTTCATCATCGCTTGAAAGATCAGGCGGTGGAAAAGGTGGAACACCTGGTGGTTCTTTATTTGGCGCCATTGTAGGTATTGTTGGAGCTGTGGCATATGCACTAGTTTTCTTTAAAATACTTGGCGGTATTGGTATATTCATGAGTGGATGATGTTGTGGTATATAATGTGGATGTGGTGGATACATATGTGCAGGAGGTTGTGGCATGTCTGGTAATGGAATTTGTGATGTTAACGAGCCTGAAATAATGTTTGTAACGTAAGAAAATTTCTATAATATAAAATAAAAAATAAAATAAAACTTGTTTCGAACCTGGATAAATTCGAGATATATCACTAGCTGCAGATGGTAATGGAATTTCATCAACCTGTACTTGCTGTGCATGTCTTACAGCTTCAAAATATGACACTAAATCTATTCTTCTTCGTTCATATTGTATTAATTGTTCTTTTAATTCCGCCCACTTTTCTTGATCATCTTTTGCCTATAAAAAGTAAATGTGCTATAAAGATATAATAATTATAAATCAATTTCTACGGCCATTAAAAATCTCATATTTTCAGCTTACCAATTTAAACTATAAAATATATATAATACTTTTATACTTACATACATTTTTAAAACACGGTCTAAGGTTTCCTTAAGTTTCTTTCGTTTGTCTTTTAAAACTTTTTCATTTAAAGGTGGTGGCTGCATAACATTGTATTCTAAAAGAATAATAAATATTCATATTATCACTATTTTAGAAAGTTTATTATTGCTAATTATTGCTTAATACTTACCCATTTGATCTATTTTTTCCATTTCTTCAATTATTTGAGTAGGATCTTTGCCTTTTAAAACAGCAGCTCGCACCAATTGTCTTTGTTTTTTATTTTTCTTCAATTCTTTTTTACGAGCTTCTTTACCTAAAATATATAAATATACAGAATCATCAATTTTTGCTTTGATTTCTAATAAAAATGTATTATTTATAAATTTGGTTATGAACAATACTAACGTGCTTGATCAGTGGGATTCATGTATTTACCACTTTTCGTGGTATTAATTGAACGGCGACCCATTTTAATTATATTTGACAAATAAAAATAATGAAATATATATGCTTCTTTACTTTTAAGTCAACTTAATTGTAAAACAACGTAATTATTTATGTTCTGTTCAATCAACATGTCGCCATTATGCCACCACTTTTGAATGTGGGTCTAAAAGCAAATGGTGCATTTACAAATGACTGTTTGAAATATAAGGTTACGTTTTCATCCATACCAATAAATTGTACGTTGATTTATGATTGGAAGATTTTGGATTAATGCATTCACTGGCGCAGGAGACGTTGAGTTATAATTTAAAGATTTTGGATTGGTACATTCATTGGCGCACAGAGAATTTTCAATTTGATTCAGTTTTGTATTTTCAACTCGACGTAATTGTGTACGGATATATAATCTTATGTATGTACCCCTTCTATGTATAAATATAATTTAGATAATTTTATATTAATTTAAACGACTAATATATGGTTGAATAATTAAATCAAATAATGTAAATATATGCATATATAAATATATACATATTATTAAAAGTTTGCGGCTTGTGATACAGATTACAATGTTGAAATTGGTTATTTATAAACGAATGAACTATTTATGAATTTTGGAAGAAAGTAATATTATTACAATCTTTGTTTATAATATATTATTGGCTAATATTAATTCTTTTTCAAATATTAATGTAATTTTTATTAAATAGCCATATGAAATTGGTAGCTAACCTCACAACTTAAGTTAATGTTTTACATATCATTTATTAGTACTTCATTTTATATATATTTTTTATGTTATTGCAGAAACATGTTGCATGCTATTGCTCATGATGTAACAAAGAAACCACGCACTAAGGATGTAAAAATACTGGAAGACGTAACTTTCTCTCAAATGGGGCTTTCTCCAAATATTTTGAATGGTTTATCTAATTGTGGTTTTCAAAGCCCATCACCTATACAACTCAAAGCAATACCATTGGGACGTTGTGGTTTTGGTACGTTTGTATAATAATAATATAGCAATTGTCATATCTGAAGTAATTATAATTTTTATATTATTATTGTAGATTTAATAGTGAAAGCAAAATCTGGAACTGGAAAGACATTAGTATTTAGTACTGTGGCTCTTGAAATGGTAAATGTTCAAATACCTTCTATACAAGTTTTAATATTAGCACCTACGCGGGAAATAGCTATCCAAATTTCGGAAGTTTTGTCATCTATAGGTTCTGAATTACAAGGTTAATATCTTCGTTTATTTATTTTATTTTGATTCAATACTAAATAAAATTACAAATTTTTTCAGGATTAAAAGTTGAATCTTTTATTGGAGGAATGATTCTGGATGGTGACAAGCAAAAACTTCGGGAATGTCACATAGCAGTTGGTGCTCCAGGTAGAGTCAAACATTTGATAGAGAAAGGATTACTTAAAACTGACTATATCAGATTGTTTGTTCTTGATGAAGCAGATAAATTAATGGAAAACAGTTTTCAAAAAGATATCAAGTAGGTAGAATATTGTTACTTTATTGTATATGTTGAACACAGTTTTCATTCTTATGAATTTTATAATTTCAGTTACATATTTTCTAAATTACCATCTAGTAAACAAGTTATAGCATCAAGTGCAACTTATTTAGGAGATTTAGAATTTTTTCTTCAAATGTATATGTCTTCACCAGTCTTAACATCCCCAGATAATGATGGACTAATTCTTTTTGGTTTAAAACAATTTGTTTCTATCGTTCCCTCACATCCAAATGCTATGAAACAGGTGACTATAAATTTTTATTTCTAATTTAATATTTGTCTACACTACTGTTATATAATTATTTAGTAATTTTTTTTTGTTTATAAAAGATTCTAAGAATTTTTGTTTGTTTATTCAGGTCCAGATAAAGGTAAAAGAGCTGGTCAAAATTTTTAATAACATTCCATTTAAACAATGTTTAGTATTTTCAAATTATCAATCACGGTATGTTTTACATTTTTTGATTATAATAGATCCGATTTGAGGACTATATAATATTAATAAATCTTTTTTTTACAAAATTTCCAGAGCACAATCTGTCTGTAATAATATTAATTCACTGGGTTTTACTGCTACTTACATAGGAGGAAATCAAGATATGATTAAGCGACAACAGGCTATTAAAAAATTAAAAACATTGATGTGTAGGATAATGGTAACAACTGATTTAACTGCTAGAGGTATTGATGTTGAAAATGTAAATTTAGTAGTCAATCTTGATATACCTGGAGACGCAGCTACATATTTACATAGAATTGGAAGAAGTGGTCGTTATGGATCTCATGGAGTTTCTATAACAATTATTTCAGACAATGAATTACAGTCTTTGAAGAATATACTAAGAAATATTGGGGGAAATAATTTTTCCATTGCTAAACTTCCTGTAAAATATCCATATGATATTTGGAGTTGTGATTATGCAATATTCGATAAAATTTCTGCCCATGATACAGATGAAGAAAAAATTGACAATAGTATACTTGATTCAAACAATGGTTTGATTTTTACACGTAACGAAAAATCTCAGAGTAACAAAGAATTTTTGCAGAATAGTAGCAATAATTCAGATAATATGAAGTTATTTTTCAATGAAAGCAACATATCAAATGAGGTTATAATTAATAATTCAGTAAGTGAAAATAATAAGTCTATTGAACATATGTTTATACCACAATCAGAAGACAATACATTAGCTGACTCAGTACTTGCACAACAGATAAAAGAAAAGAACGAACATGAATATTCTTTGAAGGATAAAATGGAAAATGAATTACCAAATATTGATACTTCGTGTATTAAAATATCACCAGAAAATGTATACAAATTTAAATTAATAAATAATGTCTATAATCTATCTGAATTACAGAAACTTAACGAAGATTTTGAGTTTAAAGTTGATTTATCTAATGTTGAGCAAGATGAATTATTAAATAATAGTAATAATAAAGTAATGGAATATTTTTTCAAATTTACTCTTAATAAGAAATATATTACAAATATGACTACTCAGACAAACGATAAAATTAACACTGAAATTAGTATTAGTGACAATAATTTGTTATTTGAAAATGAGGAAAAACAAGTCCATTTCACAGAAAATAAAAATGCTTTATGTACCGAGTTATTATTACCAGAGAATACAGAAGACATTGATGTTCCTTTTATTAAAGAATTATTGAACTATTTGCAAATACATGCAGAAGGTTTACAAAAACAAACTAAACTTGATATAGTACATAACGGTGATGATGACAATGATCCTATATTAAATATAGCCTCAGAATGGAATAAACAACTTATTTTTGAAATTTATTTATTAGACAAAACAATGGAAAAAATGTCAGAATCTGTTTACAAAATTACAGGAAAAGAATATTGTTCAGCTTTGAAAACTTTCTTTCAAGTACAGAGGAAAGCTTTTCTTTGTATTTATCCTGAACTTCGTACTGATAAGGAAATTGATGATACTTATTTATATTCATCAAATGTAAATCTAAACTTACTGGATATGTATAAAGAAATAGAAGATTTTAAAAGTCGTTATAGAAAATCTGGACAAAAATTTGAAGCTTACTTTTCCTATCCGATAAAAGAACACACTTTTATGCCAAATTTAATGATATCGAATAAAGAAATTGAGAATTATCGTAATGCATTAAAATATTTACAAAAACAACCAGATAATATAGTAAGAATTATGGAGTGGGTAAAACACGTTACTGTCTTTGATAGATGTGAATATAATAATTTTATTACAAAAATAAAAGAACAAAATAAAATATCTTTTGATGAACTATTTGTTTTTATAAAACAAGGGACTAAAAATCAAAGAAAAGAAGTTAAATTAAATGAAAATTCTTCGTATCTCGCAATACATGAAAATAATTGTATTCAATTAATAAATTATAATCATACAGACAGTTCTATATTAAATCCAATTCACAAACAAAGAGAAACTATAAAGAGACTTGATGAACAAATGAATGCTATAAATCTACTAAATAAGTTAAATACAAATTCTAGCATAGTAGTCCATTCAGTTACACGTGATCAAAAATGTAATACTAATCTACAAGTAACGAATGAAAGTAATGAAACTGGTTTTCTAGATAGATTATCATTGAATGTTTGTAATACACCAACTCCAATTGTATATAAGAAAACAAAATGTAATTATAGACAGAAGAAACACTCAACAAAAACATCTACGAATTCAGAAAAGAACTTAAATTTTATTCAAACTACTTTTGTCCCATTGGCAGAACCATGCAGTGGACAAGTAGATGTGGAAACCATTAGTAGTCATAAAAAACTGGTGCATAATTTTGAAAATTTAATTTCTAAAAAATTTTTAGATACAAAACAAAATTCTAATATTAATGTACAAACTACGGTACCAATTTGCCATAGAAAACAATGCGAAGTTGATACAAAATCTGATGAAGTTTATTCTCACTGCAATGTTAATAAGTGGAATAGTTATGATTACAAACATAATATAGATCCTTGGATACAATCTTGTTATTTTAATAACTATTATGTAGATAATAATTTTTCTTATAATTTAATTTATGATAGATGTCAAAAACAAACTTTTCCAAGTAATAATTATTACAAATCAAGAATTAGCCAAAATGGTTTAAATTATTCTGTTAATTCTGATTCTAAAGAAGAAATACATATTGAAGAATTTTTTAAATCTATTAGAAGCCAAACTAATAATTTACATTTGCAAATTTATCAATCTCAGATGTTAGGGAAGTATACTGAAGATGAGTAGCGATAATCAAATGATGCACTTATACATATAAATATAAATAGACGTACTTATAAACTAAATGTTAACTTATTTTTGGTCATGATTTCCAATGATTGATTTATAATCGATTGGGAATATATAATGATATGCGAAATGGTTGACGGTAAAAGGTCATGTGGTATGCATTTATAAGATGCATGTACTGTGTGCCATATGTAACCTTTTACTATCGATTCCGTACTACTTGATCTTACGTAATTCAATTGATCTTTCTCAATTGAATTTTGTGGAATTACAAATCGTATATATTTTTATTAAGTTAAAAGATTAATGTAAAAGATGTGTATTATAGCGTTTTAGGATAAGGAACAATATTACGTTTATGGTTAAGTACATATAAAATATAAGAACTTCATAATACTTCCTGCAATAAAAGCTACCTTTTAATAATGATTAGAATGTTTAATATATATTTAATACATTTATTTTATTTAATATATATTTTAACGGCATATTTTCAATACACACATTTCAAATAATGGATTCGGCAAGATTGTTACATATATTTGTACATTTAAGTATACCGGCTGTGAGTTTAAGCAGATCAGGTTTCTGAGGCATCTTTTCCACATGGGGAGAATCTAAAGGGAGGTAGGAGGAAGAGTGAGATGGGGGAAGAGGAATGGAAAAAAAAGGCACCACCTTACGAAACTCGTCTCGTGAGAGAATTCAGGGTAGGAACCCGTTGCGTGCCTCTTTTATTCGCAAAATAATCGTTTGAGGCTCCCGCCTAACACAACTTCAGTCGTTGACCACGTGCTTTCGCGTGAGGGAGTCTATGTAATCGTATTCGCGAGTGTGTCGTGTCGTATCCATCGGAAAACGTCGTATCGAGTTCTCTCTAACGTACGGGTAATTTTGGTCGTTAGCTGCAAATTATTAGTTTCTACTAGTATTCTTCAATATGTCTCATCTTAGATACTTTTCGAGTGTACCGATCCACATTGTAGAAAATCATGATGAGGTATGTATGATCTCTAAAAATGCTGTTGACGTTATCGTCTCTATTCGTTCTGACCGATCTGCCTCTTCTGTTTTGTTTACGTTTTGATTCGTTACTCTCAATCCTTCTATCTTTCCTTTCTCTCGCCAGGGGCGCTTTAAGCTCGAGCCATTTACAAGCATCGCGCATGCTCATTTATCAAACTATCGAAATTCGATAATATTTCGATAATCGAATTTTCATTTTTATAAGTTGTAGTTCTTTTTAATCATTTTTAAGTTTTATATACAAAATAATATGTATAATTATTTTTATAAGTTTATATAATATACTTTCGTTCATTTTAAATCCTATTTTTTTTAAATTGTGTGTATAACATAATCATAATATTATATATCATTAAATAATATGTTAAGTGATGCGTAAATATATGTGTATAAAGAGATTACTGAAAGGAATATATTTATCTGAAATTCTTTAATAGTTAATATAATTAAATAGTTTTTAATTATTCTTTTATTAGGTCTTACCATTCATTTATCGGTGCATGGGATCTAGACACCTTCCGTTTAATGGGAATACTTTTATCCACCTTGATTCTCATCCAGACATGCTTATCCCAAAGTATATGCCAGCTGGAAATGTATGGGACAAGGAAAAGCTATTTGCGTATGTATACTGATATCAATGATGATTAGATTGTAGTTTTTATTAATTAATATCAAATGTGTGTTTATTCTATAAGAATAATTTCAATTCTTAGTATTGTAATTATGATAATATTTTTAAATTATTCAATATTTGTAGAATGAACTATTGTACTTATATACTTTTACTATGTACTATTTTATACGTACTATAAATTACTATGTACTATTTTTACTATTATACTATATATACTTTTAGAGTCAATTTCAAATAATTTAGCGATGATGTTTAAAATTTAAATTCATTAATATGCACTACAATATTCTCGACAATATTTCATGTTAGCTACTGTATAATATATTTATAAATTTTTCTTATCTGTAACTTATAGTACAAGTTCTATAGTACAGTATGAGTAGAAAAGTTGAAGTTTTGTGAGCCTCAAAACAAATTTTTATTTCTTTAAAAATAAAAGTAAGTTTAACCGAAAAATTGGTTTTTATGTTATACTTACAGCTTTTCAACCACGTAGTACAAGCACTTAGCAAAAAATTCGAAGATGTAAATAATTTTAAAAAAGTAGCCCTTACAGTTGTTATCATAACATTAACTAAAATTAGCTAATTTTAATATTTGCAATCGTGTATAGCAAAGGAATCTTACGTAGTTATTTTGTATTAGTTAAAAGTCGAGAAAAACATTTGAATTAATATAATAATTATTAGAATTATTACTATATTAAATTCAATATTGCAGTAATTGAAATTATTAAGATTCATTTTTTTATAATCATTAAAGTATATTAAGAATATATACATATATATATAATATAAATTATAACCAATAAAATAAAAATATATTTATGTATTATCATCACAGGGATATTAGTATCGAAAACTGGATTATGCCAGCAGTATATGCTGGTCACTTCAGATATTTGATCTGGGTAAAACCACCATGGGCAAAGCAGTTATCTGATGGAGTATTGGAATTTTTCATCGGTAAACATAAAAGCAACGGTACTGTAAGGTAAGTTTCTTTTTGTTCATTCAATTACTTACATTTTTTTTTTTATGCATACATACGTATACGCACGCACGTTCACGTTTACATACATATTATATTCCCACTATACAGCCAGTCGTTATAAAATCATTTTAATTCCATTTAAATACAAATACATATATGGTTAAACGTTAATGTTAGTCTATTTTGTAAATGTACTACGAATTTTAATTTCAACTTTATAATAGGGAAATATTTTACATATAATTACATCGTAAGATAAATGACTCTCTCGTAAGTTTTTTGTAAAAAGGGTGTTCCACATAACGCCCATATAATGAGGCTATAATTTGTAACTCTCATCCAAACTTTATGTAAATATGCAGAGCTTATTGAAAACGAGTCGGTTGTGACCGTTTGAAAATTATTTTAGGAGCCAATCTTGTTAATTGAAGCATCTTACTTGAAAATAAGTCTATACGGTCCTTTCTCATTTGGATTTATGCGGTGTACAGATAGGAAGGGTGCTGGGACGTTATTTTGGTAATCGTAAAGCGGAAGAGTTTTGCATTTGTTAGGGCATTTTGTTTCCTATAATTATTTTTCATTTGTAAAATGCTTTATTAAAGAAGCACAAGAATCAGCATATATGGGTAGATACTACCACATGTTATTAAATTAGGTATAACAAAACATAACACTCGTTCTTTCTTGGTGAGATAAGCATCATAAAATCATCGACAGGTGGTTTTACCTCTTGCACTAGTCGTTGTATCTTATGAACTTGTCGCAACATAAATTAAATATTATATGTTACTCCTAAAAACACGAATATATTGACTTCCTTCATAAAAAGTACTTAAATGTTCTTACATTTTATACGTTGATGCAAATTAAATATTTACGGATTGAAATATCTTTGAGGCATTAATAGTTGATCCAGCAATCGTATTTTGCTATCATTTTTATTGAATTGCTTGCGCATTTCGAAAATGATACATGCGCAGCTGTAAAAATACGCTCATCATACTCGGTTAAATTTGTGTTTGGTGAAAGAAGTGAAGAAGAGGACGGTAACGAATGTAAAGAGAAAGGGATACGGATAACTAAAGTAGCAAAGAGAAGCCGACTTGGTACGCCGGTGGTCGTGATGAACCTCTCTACTGAGTCTTGAATTATGTTTCTCGAATAACCATAGATATATGTTCGTGTACAGAGAACGAAGTACGCAGGATTATACTGTAGACTAACTGTTATTTATCTTTTTCACCGGAAGACATTTCGGCTACATTTCGAATTCTTTAACAAAGTTTCTCTTGATCCTCGTAATATGTGAGAAGTTTTATTAAATAACTCGAAAAGTACATGTCTTAATACTAATATATAATCTTTCTATACTTATAGGTATATCCTACATATTTATATCATATAGAAAAATTAGTATTCGGCAGTATACTCACAGCGTGTCACTTTATTCTGACATTTCTCAATTTATATAAACGATTCAGACATTCGACTCGCGGTAATTTTCTTTGTCCAAACCGGGTTTGTATTTGACACTTTGTGCACGGAGTTTCTCTTTGACATATCTCTTGGTAAATGTAGTCGTCTTGACCTTGGACCATAATTTTCTATGATACATCTTTTGAGAATGAATGTCCGACAGAAATATCTTGAGAGAAATGTCACGTGTAAAGGTAATGCTCGAATCGTTTGTAATTTGAAATTTAATATTGCCGGAAGTACTTGGGGAATCGTGTTTAAGTAAAGTGGTTTCCTTTTTTAAAAAAATTTCACGTGTCGCGAAATCGTATGGAAACAAAAATGATCTTAAGGGATTGTTCATTTAATCGAGCTACTATTACGGTTTCTCTTCGTCCTTGGGGAGTTTCTTTTATTTTGTTGTCGAAGAAAGACCGAAGCGAGTAAGTTAGAAGAAAGGGTTTAGGGGCGACAATGGACAATGGCGCAATAATCTACAATAGAGATCCTCATGGAGATTCCATACCGAATGAATAGGGCATTCGGACAATCATCTCGTAAATTCGCTTTCCTTACGCGTCTTTTCTTTCCTCCACGCCCCATTCTTATCCTTCTTCGTCTCGCATTTCGTGGTCCTAGAAGACAAAAAGACCTAGAGTCGTCTCCTTATGTGAAGGTGTTCACCTGGGAGTCTTCTTGATCTCGTAGTATACAATTCCTATCCACTTTGTTTCCTTTTCTGGAACACATTGCTACTGTATCTACTTTAGTAAATTCCGAAGTACTTGGAACTTGGATCGTTTCAAGTAGGTACTGCTGACTTTGCGATCCTTTTTTAGACATTCAGTGTCTCTTTTATTCATCGACAGATTTCAGGAAGATAGGAAGTTAATCATTTATATAAATATAGACCCTACTGAAATTCAATATTCGTTATTCTTTATACTTCCTGATTCTACACGAATCGTCGTTATTTTTAAAGGGTATCAAATCATCCTTAAAGATGAATATTTTTACGTAGGAGATTTTATTTAAGATATCCAATAATGATACTTTTTAGAATGCATGGAATGTGATTATAGGAAGGCGTTCTTATATAATAAACCTTCTCTATTCTTACGGCTAGTTTCATACCTGAGATTTTATGCATTCTTTAGATTTCTGGAAAAACAGCTTCGATACGTGTGGGGTAAGCGAACGAGCGTAACGTATTTCCGTGCTTAGTAGTAAATACCTGTCACGGTTGAGACAGAAGTTTTATATACCGGTACTTTGAATACCGGTATAGTAGAAGCTTGTTGCTAGCTTTCGCCAGTGTCGCGATCGTATACACTCTGTTTCATGTTTATCCGTCGTACACGAGAGTGGAGCGCCAACGTAAGCAGTTCGACGAAAAAGTTCTTTTTAAGAGGGAAATCGCATGGTACTGGCGCCAGAGACGGTGACTGGTACAATCTGTCTTAAGCTCCTATTCCAATAAGAACTAGAAGTATCGTTGCTGTCGAAAGAAACGTGTCGTAAAAAAGTGCTATTTCGTATTCGCAAGAAGAATCCGGCTTAACCGATTTCTCACTGGTTTTTAGGAATGAGATTGGTAGAACTAGAAAATATTTTATCGTTTCTACAAATATTGATTAAGTTTTGAGAAACATCGTATTGTCTTCCGTTTTCTTATACTTCCTACTTTTCTGTATTTATAGAAAAGAATTTTTTTTTCACTTTTTGATTGTAAGAAAATGCCCTTTTTTTCAAAGAATTTCTGATTGATATGGGCAATAAAATACGAGTAATTATATTTACGATATTTATAATAGATTGCACAAAAAATAGTTTATGTATAGCGACTGTAAATTAATATAACTATTGTTGTGCTCTCCGTTTTTTATGCCTCGAATGATACTTCGGTGAAAAATTTGGACGTCTCCTACAGTAAAATATCGCTTTCCGATCTAAACACGCAAATAACTATTATCCTTAATAATTTTGTTTTCACGACAAACGCTTCGCGATTAGAAAAATATGGTTGATGATATTACGTGGAGCTTTTCACGTTGCCACCTACTCATGATCGAAGTTGTTTCGCGCGTAATCTTTTTCTCTCTCTTTTTCTCTCGCACGCATGCCTGTGTATGTACTTACTTGCGTGCGATTGCTTATGGAGTGCAAGAAAGAAAAATGTATACACCGGTATCGTGCTAGATAAACGTGGTTACAAATTAACCAACATTCCTATTCCTGTTCTTTTTCGTGGACGTTCCTCGTTCACCGGCACGCTGCTCTTGGCTCAACGGCTCACCACCTTTCTCCTCATCAATCCTGTTCATTCCTATCGATCTCCCTGCCTGTCGACTTCGACTTCAATACTTCCTCGTATCTCGAATAACTCTGGCTTGACCGCAATGAAAAGCGACACCTTCGTGCATGCGCCGTGCTCGTACGTATACAGATATCTTACCTCCTTTCGATTTTACTAAATATATCGTAATAACGATCAAACAAAAGGTTACTTCTGCGTTTTCTAGAATAGACAAATGGTTTGCAACGTTGATTATAGTATTCTCGTAAGCCCTCCGATTGTCGGGGTCAATTACTTTATCTAACGTTAGTTTAATTGACAAGAACTAATGTTCAACGAACACGAAAAGACCCCATTAAAGTTCCATCTACTCGTAGATATTATAAATTTCAACGGTCTATCAACATGACATAATTATATACCCCTGTCTTTGATTTTAAATCCAAACAATTTAACGTGAGGTATATTTCAGAATTGAAAAATTTTAATCGTACATTCGTACACGTTATAATCTCTAGTAATACGCAATCAAATCGTTCAATTACATTCAAATGTAGAAGAGAAATTTACATGGATTACGTAATACCTGTGTTCTTTATACTATAAGGATAACATTTACCATCTTATGAATCTACAATTGACTTCGAGTCAATCTGCATTCGGGATGTATCGCGTAAGATGAGATCTTGCGTTATTCGCGTCAAGTCACAAGATTTCTAAACGAAGTGCAATCGACTGTTAGCCAATCGGTAGCTCGATTTTCGTAGCATCCAATGGTCGACGATGATGTTTCTTCTCGGAAAGAGGTGGCCCAGGTAACGGCATTAGAGTAGGAGGACAGTTTGATCGTAGTGGGAGAGAGATTGCAGTGGATGGTGAATGCAATCGTCAGCCATCGGGCCTTCTTTTCTTGCCTGTTACAACGAACTACGACTGTCGTCACTGAAAGCGGAGGTGGGCCTTACTGTGAATGTAACGCCATTCGTCGAATCGATGCTTAGCGATCTTTTCGAGCGTGGGAGTTCAGGCGTAATGCGCGATATGGGCAGGTCTCTCCTACGTATATATATGTACATTTGTACCAACATTTTGTTACATATCCGACAAGCTGATCGTTAAGGACCGAAGTGATGCTTCTCCTTTATTTAGATTGTATTATCTTTATTTCGAGTTACGTATGTTCAATGTACAAACTCGTGATCGCGTGCTAACGAAGAATGGATTTTCCACGAAGTATATAGAGCGT